TACAGTCAGTGATCGTCTTTATATACAGTCAGTGATCATCTTTATATACAGTCACTGATGGTCTTTATATACAGTCAGTGTCTTTATATACAGTCAGTGATCATCTTTATATACAGTCAGTGATCATCTTTATATACAGTCAGTGATCATCTTTATATACAGTCAGTGATGGTCTTTATATACAGTCAGTGATCATCTTTATATACAGTCAGTGATCATCTTTATATACAGTCAGTGATCATCTTTATATACAGTCAGTGTCTTTATATACAGTCAGTGATCGTCATTTGAATTTTCGTCTTTGAGTCGACGATCGGACGTTCCTCTGCCGCTCAACTGTGTTAAACATCTAACTGTAAACCTCATCATGGAAGCCGACCAATCACAACAGAGTGGAGCTGCTGACCAATCAGAGAAGACTTTATCAGGAGGGGCTCTTAAAGAGACAGGAGCTAAAAGCAAATGTTTGAGACAGAGGCTGAAAAGAGGAGCTGCAGCAGTGGACAGTCTGAGGAACATGATGTCTTTTAATTTCATTCCATTAGAGAATGTAAACATTTTACAGTTATAACATGAATTTAAATGATCAACATGAACAGAATGTGTCTCCTTTAACACACAGAAGAGTCATTGCTGCTTTTCAAACATCAAGTGTGACCTCAAATCAAGAGCTGAGAGAAATCACAGTCAAATGTTTCCATGTGTTTTAATGAGCTAGAGCTCGACAGCGCTGAGCGATGAACTGCTTAAGTCCCATGCTAATGCTAGCTAGCCACAATAAGCCACTTTCTAACATGCTTCTGGCTTTGTGTCCAGCTAATCTGATCTGAGACGTCTCTTCATCAAATGTGAACAAGCAGTTTCTCCTCTTAGGATGATGCGATGAAGCTAAAAAAATGTCCGACTCTTTATTGAACTGAAAACAGATTGATGATGATTAACGAAGCAAATTCACAATGAAGTAAACAAGGAGTCATTTTCCTCCACAAACTCATTATGGATTTGTGAATGAATCCACAAATGATCAAAGAAAATCCACCTCCGCTTTGAAAAGAAACAATCTTCTCCCCAAATTTCACCTCGTGTCGCAGCATGTGCAGTTTGAGGGAGTAGGAGGAGACACTTCCTGTCCAGCGTCTGATGACGGCATCGCACAACTTTGAAACGTTTCCTCAAATCCTCCTCAACATTATCCTGCTTCTCATGACGGCATCTTCACTCAATGTGTGTCAGATTAACCATCCAGGGTTAAAGTCTGTGGCTTTAACTTAAGACGAGCGGCTGCTGCCAGGAAGAAGATGATGATGATGGAGTCTGACGGCGCCGAAGCAGGAGCGAGGGAGGATGTGATTATAGCTCCAGGACAGGCAGATTAATCTGCTGACATGTGGCGGGGATGTAAATCCATCAGAGGAGCATTGGTTGCGTGTGGGCGGTTAAAGTTCTCACGGAGCTCAACATCTGTTGATGACGGACGGGGCGTTAATGCTCCTGCAGGTTCTGGTCCACGTTCTGGTTCTGGTCATGGTTCTGGAAAGGCGGCAGAAGGCCTGTGACGTGGCCGATGCCTTTGGTGACGCCCTCCCTAAAGAGCAGCTTGGCGCCCAGCCGCAGATACTCAGGGTGTTTAATGAAGCGGAAACGAACCACAGCTCGCTCGCCCGTACGCAGCTCGTCCTGTAGTAGAGAGAGAGAGAGATACTACAGTGTTCCAGCAGCAACACAATGAAAAACTACAAACTCACATCTGACACATATAAGTAACACAATCGTAGTATGTCGAGAATATTCAGCTCGTCAGTAACGAGGTTCTCAAGAATTCTCAACCTTCTACGTAAAGAGCCTTGAGATAATGTGTTATGATTTCGTGTTATACAAATTAAATGTATTTGAATATGTGAGCAGACTTCAACTGTTACTGCTCGATAAATAAATCAAATGAAATGTCATCTGAATTTGTAGCAGTGATAATAACAATAATTATAATTGTAATATTTAAATTAATAATAATAATGATAATAGTAATAATCATAGTAATCATAATAATAACAATATTAATACTTAAATTAATAATAATTGTAGTAATAATAATAAAAATAAGAGTGATAATAATAATAACAAAAGTAATAATAGTAAGAAGACCGATAGTAATTATAATAATAATAATATTAGTAACTATAATATTAATAGTAAAAGTAATATTCTACATTGTCGGGTGGATAAACATTGTCTATTATGTGTAAATATAAAGGTAAAACATTGCAGCTCAGATTCGATATGAAGTGCGACTCCAGAGGTTAAAAAGTAAAAAAGGTCTTTTCACTCTGTTGTTTGTGGGGATGTGAGATTTTATATTAAGGTTCAAGTCGTCATCAACATCTTCATCAGCTTGTTCAGTTTCTCAGTGAGAGCTCATGTGACACGTTAACAAAGAAAAGAGACCTTTCCATGAAGGCACTCCACTGTGGCGGTCTGCCTCACGTTGCCGACGTGCACAGTGACCTGTGACCCCCGGCGGAAAGTCTTGGCGTGGAAGAGCAGGACGATGGCGGCTTCAAACTGACAACAGATTGTTGGGTTCATCTTGGGGCTGACCATCACCATGCCCTGCAAAGTGTCACAGATCATTTGTCGTTGCGATCGACTGAGCGAGTAATCAGCCTGGAATCAATCCTCGTGCACGCTCTACAGCTACGTGACCTCTGACCTTGCGCAGCAGTGAGCGGTCAAAGTTTCCCAGAGCCAGCGTGGCGGCCTGTCCGGCTCTCAGCACCCTGCAGGCCGAGCGGTTCCTCTGGATGCTGCCCACCTTCAGCCTCAGGAAACGCCCTTCATCTGTCGGACCGACCACCAGCCGCTCGCCCTCCCTGCACACTCCACTGGACACACACACACGCACACACATACATACATACAACACACACATGACACACATGACACACACACACACACACACACACACACACACACACACACACAACCTTGAGAAGCCTCATCACATACCTGATATGTACGTAAACTGTGATTTAAATTCCAAGAACTATTTCAACTTTATTCCTAAAATCTCCTTTTTCCTGTCACACGTAATTCTTGTCGGACTTTCTGGATAAAATGACCCAGACTCTGTGAAGCAGCTGTGACCTCACCTGTACAGAGTTCCGCCCACCACAGTCCCAACGTCTGGAACTGAGTAAATCTCATCCACCTGAAGCACACAACAAGAAAATGTTCATTTCAAATCCATGTAAAAGTAAATCAATCAAAGAAATCAATCGCATGGTTCATTTCTTGTTTTATTTGTTTATTGCTGTTCAGAATTTTTGACTT